CGGAGAAAAACCACTTGATCTCAGCCTTGCGCTGGCGTTTGTGAGCTCGCTTACGCTCATACTTTTCAGGATTCAATTGGCGATCCCGCTCACGTCGCAGCGCTTTCAACTCTCTCCGCTGTTTGGCCTTTCTGGCCTTTTGCTCGTCTAACTTCTTTGCACGAGCAAAACGATCTCGGTTATGAATCCGTCGTCTCTCCTTCTCCATTCTATGCACTTGTGCACGGGTTGACATATCACCCGGCAAAGGAGAAGCACATGATGAGAACGACAATTCCGAGATCTCCTCCCACCGCTCGTGGGGATCATTAGGGTCTGGTCTCTCTGGACTCCCCTCGCTCAAGTCCCATGGTTCCGGGATATGCCTGAGCGCAAAGGCCATCTTTTCTGGCCAATTTGGGTCCTCTTTGGCGATTTGATCTGCCATTCCAGGACCATACCACCTTTGTATTCTAACCAGTCTGGCGGTGGTTAACCTTTCTCCAAACTGATCGGCGGCCATCCGCCATCCCTCGTCAAGCTCATCGACGAGATCACTGTGGAACTTTGTCCACATTGCACGGCACGGTGGTTGCCGGCTATATGGATCTCGAGTGTCTAGAACGAACTCCAGCACCCTTGAGCTTTCACCCGGCCCCCATTCTGGTAGCGCGGGCCTCCGAGGGCTCCAATTATGGCCTCCCGGCCTTGGCGGACTTTTTCCGCAAACAGCTTGAGCGCTTTCTGTGAGCGACTCATCTCCAGTCCCGTCCGATCCACTAGGTGTTCTCACATACACCTGGGATTTGAGCCGTAGCTCCGGGATCTTGACCTTCCGGCCTTGCATTCTCTCAACTCGCCCTAAGGCTTTGGCCTCCCGACCTTGATATGGAGATTTCTCACTTTCCATCGGCCGCTCACCTGGCGATGGACTCTTCCGCTTGGAGCGCTGCTTGCCAGCAACCTTCCAGTCTTCCTCGGGGATGGTTGGCATGGGCAGCTCCGACGGACTGGGGGCCCTCACAGCTGGCACCACCTGTTGGGCGCTTCTCTCTTCTGCCTCCTGGGCCCGCTGCTTTTGCTTCAGGAGGCGGTCACTCAACGCCTTGACTTGGTCTTCGGCGGAGGTTTTGGCTTCTTGGGCCTTGCGGCTCTGTTGCTTCGCCTTCTTCATGGCCAACTCTTTCTCTCGAGCTTCTTTCTTGGCCTTGTTGACGGCGATCTCCAGCGAGGCGATCCTCTCGGCGGTCTCTTCATCCCGCTTCGCTCTCGCCTTCTCGGCCGCGGTATCCGCCATCTTCTGCAGGAGCTCTTTGATACCAGGGATCTTCGGCAACGTCGCCGCCGCCTCAGCGTCCTGGTCTTGCTCCTGTGTCTTCTCCGCCGCCGGCGGGGTATCCACTTCTTCCATCGGCTCATCTTCTGCTGCGGGTGCCGATGTGGCTGTGGAGGGTCCAGCCATATCCTCCCGGACTGTTACACCTCCTGGCCCATCCCGGGCTTGTTCAGTTCCTTGCCCATCCCGGGCTGTATCGATCGCCTGCCCATCCCGGGCTTGTTCTTCCCCCTGCCCATCCCGGGCTTGTTCCTCCGATTCCTCGGCCTCCATGGAGGAGGCCGGGGAAGGGCTTCGGCGTCTTGTACTCTCGCGCGCTCCCAGGTGGAAGCGTGGCCGCCACCCTCAGGCGGCTCCGAAACCAATTGTTACGAATAGGATGTGGGTGTGGGGTTCCTGCCCTCTTTGAGCAGCGGACCCGCCTCGCCGGGCACCTAGGTCCTTACAGGGCACCTAGGCGGGACCACCCCTCCTACTCCCGTATCCTAATATGGATAAAGGTTACAGTGGGTGAGGAATAGTACGTGCCTTGGGCAGGGCGTCCCCCACACCAAGGGCCATTAGTAGGACGTCTCCCACATCAGGCTGGTGCGCGTAACAGTCACCACCAGACCCTGAGCGTCACATCATCTCTTTGCTCATATACATCAAAAAGGGGGCACAACCACTTATCGTGGCTCATCATCAAGACCAACCCTCATGGCACATTGTGAAGGCCGCGGCACATCATTTGTTCATCTTTCAAGGCTACAACACATTATCTAATCATCTTCAAGGCTATTGCACATCAATTGGTCATCTTCAAAGCTATGGGACATCTTCAAAATGGCACCTCTTGTTATGTAATCATCCGGCACATCTCCAAAAGTGGCAAGGCTTCACCATCAATAATGTGATACCCAGACGTGATTAGAACTAACATAATGAACATGTAAAGGCCATGTCAGACATCTTCCCATGCTAGTGTTCATCTATTATAGATACAACTACCGTACTGATAAAGACTCAAAGACTGTAACTAGATCATATCCATGTATCGATGAAAAAGTACCAATGTCCACAGGTGTGATTCGCAAAACGCAACACTATCGTACTCTTGTGAATTGAGGGCTGTCGCGCTCTTCAATCATATTAGTGTACTCGATATTCGTGTACTCCTGTATCTGGGCCTTGGCCGCTGTGCCCGACAACAGCACTCGCAACAGATGCGTGCAGGCCGCAAGCGGAACCAAAGCTCAAGGTGGGCTGGACGCCGCGCCTCCGGGAGCGTGCGTTTTGGAGGGCCGCCTGCGGGTGGCCATGCCGCTGAGCCAAACGGACGGCAGGCTGCAAGGCGCGCTGATTGCGGCAGCGGCAGCCGTGCTGGCTCTGGCGACGTACAAGGTGAAGACCATGAAGATTCCCTACATATGCTGTTACGACAAAAATGTGCATGTCATCGTCCGTGCTATACCCACAATGCATGGCCCATCAGAATGTATCATGGCCACGTCCATGGCCGCCCATGTGTCACCCCATAAGAGGTGACAACCCAGGATAGCCTCTTGAAGGCGATCTGCGAGTTTTGGGCAGGTAGTGGGCGAGAACAGGTGGAAAACAGGAGACAGGAGACATGTCATTCGATGGATGCCCAATTTCTGCAGGACAGGTGTGGGGAGAGACTTGTTCCTTGGCAGTGGGATCTGGTGGAGTCTCCATCAGACAGGCTTTTGGGAAAATTTGGCACAATGCCGTGTACTCAGTAGTACACTGTGATACACCAGAGCGAAACTTTCTGGATGGAAAAAATAATAGCAAACAAGACTGCCACTTTAATGTCCGCATAAGGCAACGACTGATGGGTGGGAATCATGCATTAATGGAGCGTTGCCACCAGCCCAAACATTGCTCCAAAGGCAACTGAATGAGAGTATCCATTGCATGAACTTTAAAGCGATTGGCATGACCCTTGGTATCTGCTGAATCCAGATCCATCAGAGAGCACCAAGATTTCTGCAAGGACCTCCCACTGCTTGATGCAAAAGAAACACCCCAAGTCCCATGCCATATTAGAACACAACGCAAAGACATTTGAGGGCATAGAGCCAATTATCCATGTTTGGGTGGCAAATGTATTTGCAAGTCCTGTGCCATCCAGTGGGATCGCTTGTCCATTCTAATTGCTCAATAATGTTTTGTCCCAAGTGTTGACCACTGTCAGCCTCTGCTGCAAATTAATTGTCACTTTGGCCATCATACTTTGCGCACTGTTTTATATGTCAGTGTTATGGTATCATACCAATTATCTGCTGACCATGCACAAGGTGCTATGGCCCCACGATCACCAAGCATCCTTTGCCACATTTGCAGCCCGCCCACCACCATGTGCGCATGAATGGCTTGAGACTTGGTTTGAGATCGCTGCACCCATGCACGCGCCACCGCCAGCCAGCAGCTGCGCCTGTACTGCCTTTTGGCCACAGGTGCCCTTGCAGACTTTTTCATAATCTGAAACATTCTATATCCTAGTTGTTTGACTACAACGCAAAACCGATCATTGTATCACACTCACAGGCATCCATGCCACTATGTCTGAGCCTGGATTAAAGCAGATTGGGCATTCCAACTGCTGCTTGCTGTCATGCGGAGGAACTTTCAACATCACCTTTTGGAGACAGGGCTGGGATCGGTCGTTCTATGGCAAATGTTAGCAATACGAGTCTACTTCTGGAATTGCCAAACTGCCACACTGGATGCCAGGTACAGCCCCTGCCATCAAGGTTCAGCTTGTGTGCAGTCCAAAGTTGGCATCACATTTGAGAGCTCACACATCACGCCAGGCTACGAGAAATGCAGATTTCTTTGGGCCCCTTGATGCTGATTGCTGATGTTTGTTCTTCCATACTTGGCCACATTTGTAATAATCTGTCAGTTGGTCAGTCTATTGATCAGCCAGCTGTGTTCTTTCGACTAATACCTTTTGCGTGCTTTTGCAGCTATGTCGATGCTGGCATGCTGCTAAATGCAAGGCAATTGCCGATGGTGTGCTGGGGGCAATTGGGGGCACACCTCTCATACGGATCAAAAGCCTCTCAGAAGCAACTGGATGTGAGGTGAACTGAATCGACACATTGCTCCTTATGTTTTGAATGGAGCAGAAGCAAGTCATCTTGCACATCGCCGTGTTGAGTTAGCAAGGGTTTGAAAAGAATGAGTTGTGCACAGGCACCCTCAATGTTTCACTTGAATCTGCGCAACCAAGTTCCATTATTCATCACTTCAGCGCTCATGTTTACATGCTGTTGTGTAAACTGAATTGATAGGCGCTGCCATCGCTCCTTTGAGGCGATGGCATTTGGCAACAGTAGTGCGCCACGAGTGCCTGTAAGAAATTGTAATACACAGTTGACTGCTGGTAAATTCCTCACATGTTGGCTCATTTGACACGGATGACAGCTTATCAACTGGTTCAAATTGTGTCTCAATGTAAGCGCTGCCAATTCACAGTGGTGTGTCCACTGTATCCTCAACAAATACTGGTGGAGATGTGTACAAGTACTCCAGAAGTACTACATATCAAGGCAAGGAGGCAACCGTAAGCTCTAATTCTCCAGCAAAATCGATGCGCATGATTATCTGGCTGAATCCAAGGTTCTGAGCCAACCACTGTGTCTATCTGTGAGTTGATTTGATTTGGTTTGCCCAGATACTCGCCAAGGCCGAGTTTCTCAATCCGGGGGGGAGCGTGAAGGATAGGGTGGCACGGCAGATGGTGCTGGAAGCACTGAAAAGTGGCCAGCTGAGGCCCGGGGGACTCATTACCGAGGGCACAGTAGGCAGCACCGGCGTGAGCCTTGCCATGGTGAGCGAGCCCTTTTGTGCTGCGTTTGACAGGGCACGACGAAAGCGTGCTGCCTTTGCAGCTTGCATTCTGCCCAGCCCCCCAATTCTTTGTAGGGCAGCATTGAAAACATGTCCTTGCTGCGACACTACTGCAGCTTGTTATTGTATTCTAATGTGTTTCAGTGCATTTAACGTATTACATAGTATTTGATGTTTCTGCAATTTCATGTAATTGAATGTTGTGGCTCCGTTGGATCAATGAAGTTTGCCTGATCCCTATCATTTCCAGATATGAAGGTCGTGAAGGGTGTGAGGACCTTAAAGCCCTAAAAAGATCTAAACCTGAAAATGATCTTGTTGTCAAGAAATGAATATTGTATATTTGATGGGCCAATGCGCCTGTGGGCCGTGTGCACACTGGCCAGCGTCAGCAAAGTGGTGATGACGGTCGAATGCTGGTCCACCGGTTGAATTTCAGGTCAGTTTTTTGGCACCTTATCCCCAGAGCGCTGGACGGATGTGCAGTAGATGCGCCGTTGCCGCCATTCCCTTGGTTGATGAGGTAGTGCACTTGTGGGGCCTGTTAGCTTGAAAGGGTGCAAAGGTTCAATGTCCAATTCAGCATTCAGACATTCAACTGATGAAATCATCAGCAGAGAGTTACTCCAGCCGCACGCAATAGGAGTTCATGCAAAACTTTTGATGGATATATTGCAATGAAACTCTGGATGCTGGCTTGAAATGTATATAAATTATGTATTTCTGACATATGTGCCTGACACGTGATGTGGGCATTGTTGATGGAACAGGTTGCTCGTGCTGTTGGGTGCA